CAAACTGTTCAAAAAGAACTGTGTTCTAGTTTTAAATTTGAACTCAATAGGAGGAAAACATACTCAACTCATAGCTCCAATACTTAACCCACCCGTTTACCAGCCTGCAATTCCCTTTCATTACCAGGTCATTTTTTAGTTCTCAGTGCTGCGACAGTTTAACTGACAAATCCTCAATCATATGACACTGCACCTAAAAAAAAACTTGATCCAAGATTGCAATGAAGGATTGTTTATGTGGTGGATAAAGAACCTCAAACAACTTCCAGAGAAATTCAAGCTGACCTTCAGGCACAGGGTACAACTGTGTCAGCTCGCACGATACATCGCCATCTGAATGAAAAGAGACACTATGATAGGAGACCCAGGAGGACCCCACTGCTGACACAGAAACAAAGCCAGATTGAAGTTTGCCAAAACTTATGTGAGGAAGCCAAAATCCTTTTGGGAGAATGTGCTGTGGACAAACGAAACAAAAATTAAAGCTTTTTGGTAAAGCCCATCATAGTTTTCAGAAAAAGAAATGAGGCCTTGAAAGAAAAGAATTCAGTCCCTTCAGTCAAACATGGTGGAGGTTCACTGATGTTTTGGGGTTGCTTTGCTGCTTCAGGCATTGGATTTCCTGACCCTGTGCATGGTGGCATTATGAAATCTGAAGACTACCAAAGAATTCTGGGGTGCAACGTAGGGCCCAGTGTCAGAAAGTTGGGTCTCTGTCAGAGGTCATGGGTGTTACAGCAGGGTAATGACCCAAAGCACACTTCATAAAGCATCCGGAAATGGTTTCAGACAAAGCGCTGGAGAGTACTGAACTGGCCAGCAATGAGTCCAGATCTCAAACCCATAGAGATCTGTCCAGAGTAAAGATAACCTCCTCTTAGACAACTGTCACTGGAACAAGTGCCCACATTTGAATATTTTCCTTCACCTATTCCTTTGATAACCCAAAATTTTAAACTTCCCTTACTTTCAGTCCCAGCAACAATGATCACCAGGGTAAAGTGAGGGTGAATCTTTCTAAATTGAGGGCTAGTGTGTGTGTGGGCATGATGCGACTCCATCCCATAAGAAATACAATATTACAAACCCAAAAAAGGGACTTTGTGAGACGCACCAAAATTTTATCAAAATCTTTACATTTTATTGAAAATTAACATGTTAAAAAAGCTCAGAGTATAAAAAAAACTTTCATACACATACAAAGAATAATGATGTACATATATCATGAGACCATGTGCACTTCCTCAGGAGATGTAAGAACTCATGAATGTCTATGAGGGAACCAAATCCTAATCCACGAAGGGTAAAAAAAAAGACTGCTTTTGCAGTCTTTATTATCTCCATTCCTGGTTATTGCAGTGAATTTTTTCAATTTGGTAATACCTCACAATTTGTGTGTGTGTGCGCGTGCGTGCGTCTTACAAATCCACCAGGGGTGGTTGGGGGGTTTGAAACCAGCTGAATGCTGGTCCATATATAGAAATTATAGCAAGGATATGCCAACTGCTCCACACTGTCTCGAATTGTGTGAGGCGAACCAAACCAAATTGAAAAAATTCACTGCAATAGCCAGGAATGGAGATAAAGACTGCAAAAGCAGTCTTTTTTACCCTTTGTGGATTAGGATTTGGTTCCCACATAGACATTCATGAGTTCTTACATCTCCAGAGGAGGTGAACATGGTCTCATGAAATGTTTGGAGATCCTTTTCTAGCATGAATTTTTCAAGATACGTAATTACTCATGATATACACTCACCAGTCACTGTATTAGGTACACCTTGCTAGTACCGGGTTGGATCCCCTTTTGCCTTCAGAACTGCCTTAATTCTTTGATTCAGCAAGGTGTTGGAAACATTCCTTAGAGATTTTGGTCCATATTGACATGATAGTATCATGCAGTTACTGAAGATTTGTCGGCTGCACATCCATGATGCAAATCTCCTGTTCCAACACATCCCAAAGGTGCTCTATTGAATTGAGAGCTGGTGACTGTGGAGGCCATTGGAGTACAGTGAACTGTGTTATGTACAAGAAACCAGTTGGAGATGATTTGAGCTTTGTAACATGGTGCATTATCCTGCTGGAAGTAGCCATCAGAAGAAGGGTACACTGTAGTCCTAAAGGGATGGACATGGTCAGCAACAATGCTCAGGTAGGCCATGGTGTTTAAACAATGCTCAAGTGGTACTAAGGTGTTCCAAGAAAATATCCCCCACACCATTACACCACCAGCCTGAACCGTTGCTATAAGGCAGGACAGGTCCATGCTTTCATGTTGTTCACACCAAATTCTGACCCTACCATCTGAATGTCGCAGCCGAAATAGAGACTCATCGGACCAAGCAATGTTTTTCCAATCTTCTATTGTCCAATTTTGGTGAGCCTGTGCAAATTGTAGCCTACAATTCCTGTTCTTAGCAGACAGGAGTGGCACGTATGGACAGCTTTTATTTGTCTGGCTTCAGAGCTTTGATGTCACGGTCATTGCCAGGAATGCAGCAAATGAAGTCAGAATTCCACATATATATTATTTAAAAAAAGAAAAAAACTATACACCTCTGATGCTGGGATTTCTGTTGCATGAGTCTGCCATTAGACATCATACTAAAAATGCTAGTTGCCAGGTTGGAATTCTGACTTCATTTGCTGCATTCCTGGCAATGACCGTGACATCAAAGCTCTGAAGCCAGACAAATAAAAGCTGTCCATACGGTTTCAAGGTTCAACATGTTGTGCATTCAGATGGTATTCTTCATACCTTGGTTGCAACAAGTGGTTGAGTTACTGTTGCCTTTCTATCATCTCAAACTAGTCTGCCCATTCTCCTCTGACATCAACAGGGCATTTTAGTCTACATAACTGCCACTCACTGGATATTTTTCTCTTTTTCAGACCATTCTCTGTAAACCCTAGAAATCGTTGTTCGTGAAAAGCCCAGTAGATCAGTTTTTTAAAATGCTCAGACCAGCTTCTCTGGCACCAACAACCATGCTAAGTTCAAAGTCACTTAAATCTCCTTTTTTCCCCCCCATTCTGATGCTCGGTTTGAACTTCAGCAAGTTATCTTTACCTCATCTAGAGGCTTAAATGCATTGAGTTGCTGACATATGATTGGCCGATTAGCAATTTGTGTTATCAATCAATTGAACTGGTGTACCTAATAAAATATCTGGTGAGTATATGTATATCATCATTCTATGGATATGTAAGAAGGTTTTTTTTTTTTTATACTCTGAGCTTTTTTTAACATGTTCATTTTCAATAAAATGTAAAGATTTTTATTAATTTGAGGTGTCTCACAAAGTCCCTTGGGCACTTTTTGGGTTTTGAATTAGGGCGATTCTTTCCTGTAGGAAAACATTGAGAAATAAAAACCTGACAAAGGTTCTAACGCTTGCTTCATCAATCCAGGAAAATTGTGCCAGCCACTGGACTACATTCCCCAATATAGTCCTACAAAGAATATTCTAGGGAGCGTGGGGACACATTTCTGGCACCTAGTGAATAGTTTAGAGGAACGTATGGATAATGTAGTTCAGAGAAGTGAATCCAAACAACCAATTTACAGCAATGCCTTAGCTCTCACTAGGACAGAAAGAGATAGGGAATATTCCCAATGGGGGCATGAACAGCTATAGCACTCATTGTAACCTTTACCCTCTCTAACCAAAATGTTTTGGCTAGCGTACCCCATCAAAGCCCAACTAGATTTATAGTTTAAATCACATTTCAAATGCATCAAACAAATTGCATGAAAAGCCCTATAGTTAGTTTTCTTTAGAAAGCAACCCGAGTAAAAAAAATAAATAAATAAAAAAAAAAAAAAACCTGTCCACTGCCAGCATACATCAGAAAAAGATTCCTTGATTTATGTGGAAGCAGTGGACTCTGCAGAGGTTCAAAATGCAGTCTGCTAACACAGAGCTAGAGCTCCCCAATCAGCAGGCAGCGTGAGCTTTGCCGATTGCACAGGTATAGGTCATACTCAGCAAGGGTGTGTTAGACCCCTGCAGAAAGACCACTCCTTCCATAGAGAGCCAGGGTCCTTCTCTGCATGCTGGCAGGAGACAGGCTTTTCATACTCTTTTGATGCACTATGAATATATTTGGCCAACTGAAATTTCAATTTGATTTTAAGACAAGTGTAAAAAAAAAAAAAACAAATACACCATGGGCAGCACAGTGGCTAAGTGGTTAGCACTTCCACCAAGCTGCACTAGAGTTCTCAGTTCAAATCAAAACCATGGCACTACCTGAATAGAGTTTGCATGTTCTCCCTTTGCCTGCGTGGGTTTCCTCCATGTACCCTGGTTTCCCCCCCAACACTCCAAAGACATGCTGGTAGGTTAACTGGCTCCTGTCTAAATTGCCCCAAGTATGTGTATAAATGAATGTGAGTTAGGGACCTTAGATTGTAAGCTCCTTGAGAGCAGGGACTGATGTGAATGTATAATACATATATATGTAAAGTGCTTTGTAAATTGTTGGTGCTATATAAGTACCTGTAATAAAAATAATAATAATGCCTTATGCAGAATGAGCTATAATTGTGACATATTTAGCAGTCAAGATGGCAAAAAAAAAAAAAAAAAAAAAAAAAATGTTGGTCGAGTATGAGGAGAAACAGACCAAAACAGAAAATGGATGTCCAAAAGAAGGTTCACGGATTTGTTTCTGAAATGTACTTACTGTGACAACGTAATACATTTCCTCAGATTTCTGTTACAGTTTTATAAAATTAACAGTGAAATCATCAAATCATGGAATCAAACCTGGTACCTTTCTATGATCCGGATAAAAGGAATCCATAGTTTGACTGAAGCTGAAATTTAGGTACAGCAATTTTTTAAATAGTTACATTGCCATACCCGGCATTTAGCTTTAAATTATTGTACAAAATCCCTGTAAAAACACTCTTTTTCAACACTGTGCATCAATAAGAGATAAGCTCACTGAAGTGTCAGATTATGGTCAAGCTTGTACAACACAAAATACTTACTGCCATTATCAATATTTGTGTTCTGGGCCAGATTCAGAGCTGCGATTTTCATGAGACTCTAAAAAACAAGAGTGCCCTCCTCCTCCCGTAGCAGGCCGGCGCGCTCTCCCCCCTCCTCCTCCTCCCCGTAGCAGGCCGGCGCGCTCTCCCCCCCCTCCTCCTCCTGTAGCAGGCGGCGCGCTCTCTCCCCTCCTCCTCCTCCTCCCGTAGCAGGCCGGCGCGCTCTCCCCCCTCCTCCTCCCGTAGCAGGCCGTCGCGCTCTCCCTCCTCCCCTCCTCCCGTAGCAGGCCGTCGCGCTCTCCCCTCCTCTCCCGTAGCAGGCCGGCGCGCTCTCCCTCCTCCTCCTCCCGTAGCAGGCCGGCGCGCTCTCCCCCTCCTCCTCCTCCCGTAGCAGGCCGGCGCGCTCTCCCCTCCTCCTCCTCCCGTAGCAGGCCGGCGCGCTCTCCCCTCCTCCTCCTCCCGTAGCAGGCCGGCGCGCTCTCCTCCTCCTCCCTCCTCCCGTAGCAGGCCGGCGCGCTCTCCCCTCCTCCTCCCGTAGCAGGCCGGCGCGCTCTCCCCTCCTCCTCATCCTCCTCCCGTAGCAGGCCGGCGCGCTCTCCCCTCCTCCCGTAGCAGACCAGGGCGCTCTCCCCTGTTTTGCCTTAACACTGTACGCACAATTATTAGGCAAGTGAGTTTTTTTTTTTACCAAAACATCATTATTATACATATTGTCCAATTCTAAGCTGTATGCACTTGAACGCTTATTGGATTTAAGAATATCAGATAGCATATCAGTGTATTTGTGTAATGAGAGAGGCTGTGGCCTAAGGAGGAGATCAACACTCTGTAGCAAGGTGTTCATAATTATTAGGCAGCTTCTATTCCTCAGGCAAAATGGGCCAAAAAAAAAAAAATAAATAAAAAGATTTGACTCTGAAAAGTCAAAAATTGTGAAAAGTCTTTCAGAGTGATACAGCACTCTTTAAATTGCTAAGATATTGGGGCGTGATCACAGAACCAAATGTTTAAATTGCAAATAGTCAACAGAGGCACAAGAGACAAGTTGAGGTAAACAAAAAGCACAGGCTAACTGCCAAAGATTTGAGAAGAATCAAATGTGAAGCTACCTGAAACACAATATCCTCCAGTGCTGTCATATTCCAGAACTATAACCTACCTGGAGTGCCCAGAAGTATAAAGTGTTCAGTGCTCAGGGATATGGCCAAGGTAAGGAAGGCTTAATCCCGACCACCACTGAACAAGACACATAAGTTGAAACGTCAAGACTGGACCAAGAAATATCTGGAGACAGATTTTTCAAAGGTTTTATGGACTGATGAGATAAGAGTGACTATTGATGGACCAGATGGATGGGCCCATGGCGGAGTCAGTAATGGGCACAGAGCTCCACTTTGACCCAGACGTCAACAAGGTGGAAGTGGGGTAACTGTATGGGGTGGTATTATTAAAGATGAGCTAGTTGGACCTTTTCGGGTTGAAGATGGACTCAAAATCAACTCCCAAACCTACTGCCAGTTTTTAGAAGACACTTTCTTCAAGCAGTGGTACAGGAAAAAAAAATCTACATCTTTCAAGAAGACCATGATGTTTATGCAGGACAATGCTCCATCGCATGCATCGAAGTACTCCACTGCGTGGCTAGCCAGTAAAGAACTTAACGATAAAAGAATGACATGGCCCCCTTCCTCACCAAACTTGTGGGCCCTTCTAATGGGAGATTTATGCTGAACAGTGTCTGGGAGGCTGTGGTTCCTGCTGCACAAAAAGTGTCAACAGATCAAGAAACTGAAAGACTTCACAAATGAAAGGCTTATGACTTATTGAAAAGGGTAGCTATATTGGTCACTGATTTTTTTGTCTGAAATATCAGAAGTGTTTATTTGTAAATTTTGAGTTGTTTATTATTCTCACTGTAACAGATGAAAACAAACAAGTGAGATGAGAAAATTTTCGTTTTTCATTTAGTTGCATAATAATTTTGCACACCGATAGTTGCCCAATAATTGTGCACACGTATTCATCAAAGCGAAAACCTCACTTTTACTTTCTTAAATATTCAGGTTTGTGGTTTATTAACATTTTTAATTGTCCGAGAGCACTGAAGTTGCTCAATAATGAAATTAATACTCCAAATAAATGCCTAACAATTGTGCACACAACTCAGTTATACTTTAAAGACAGGAACTGGTGTGAATGTACAGCTTTGTAAAGATCTGTAATAAATAACAGGAAATTTCCCTTCACTTCCTGTCCCAGAGAAATCACAGGATGTAAGATGAAACTTGAGGGGGATTCCCTTCTGAGATTTTGCAGATAAGAAGTTCCTCTAAGTTCTCCATTAAAGATTTATTCATCATCCAAGTATCTTATGAAAAAATGCAGCTGGGAGTCAAAGGGAACACAGGCAGACATTGCTGGTAAGCTGTATATCTGTATAAAGTGCATCTCTAAGAAAAACATTTTTGGGGGGAGTTTTGGACAGTGTTAGACTGTGAGGTTTTAATTGTTGCCTGTGACCCCACTGGAGAGATTCTCCCCTCTCTATGTGTACTGGTGAGAATCATCACTGAGACAAAGTGATGGGAAACTGATGATTTCACAGTTGCCCTCAGATGAAAAGGTAAGAATGATTCAAACAGTGGCCACACATTTCAATGTTGTTATTCAATCAATGTTCGATTCAATCAAAGTAACAGAACTGTCATATAACCATTAATTTCCCTTCCAATCGGTTTAGATCAGATTCAATCAAACTGAGTTGATAAGGGGACTATCAATTTGCATTGATCAGCAGCATTGAGACGTTCTGGTCATGAATCTGATTGTATTTCAGTTAATCAGATTATGACACTGCATGATGGAAACAGATGTGATCAGGGTGGATAAAAATCAATCATTTTTAAAAAAAAAAAAAAAATCAAACAAAATCAGATTTTTTTTTTTAAATCAGATTTTTTTAAATAAAATGCTTTTTGAGGAAAATATATTACCATCCAAAGGTTATTCCATCATGAAATAAAGATTAGTTTTTTAATTATGTAGAATAAGGCTGTATATGTTGAATTTTTTTGGTAAATAAATTCCATTAATCCATTCACAATGTCATGCTCTTCCAGAGGTTTTTGTAAGATTATTGGGCAGTTTCTCTGCCTACAAGATATTATCACAGATGATTGGTTTACTTTTGCAGTTCTCAAAACTGAATTTGACTCAGCGGAGATCACATGCCTCTTCTTCACAGCAAAAATGTTATAACATGAACAGAGTTAAGAAAAAGACCTTAATCCTAACTTCTACAAACCTATGAATACAGAATCAACCCCTTCAGTGCTAAGTTTCAAGACGTTCAGTGAATAGAATAGAAACAATATTTTTCTGATTGTTTGGAGTGGAATAGATCTGCACAAGAAGAAAGTGAAACTAAGTGTGAGGAGGAAGGGGCTGACAGTCTAAGTTTCTTAAAATATATATATTTTGTTTAGCCAAATTAGTTCACAAACATGGATGTTTAAGTAAATAACATATGCTGGAATGTTATTGTTTCAGATGAATAAATCTATTTACATTGTTATTATTAAGGTAATGATTATTTTTCTCCTTCCTAAGTACAACAGAAAAGTTGTCCAAATATGAATGATTAACCTATTAAACTGGGGATAAAAAAACTAATATGAAAAGTTGTTATTCTAAAAATCTTCATCTACTTGCATATTAAAGTCATACCATCAAGAATTAGACTTTATGTAGAAAACTAGGATTTAAATCAAGCCTTACTGACTAGTGATTTAAATCAGTTTGATTTAAATCAAATCCACCCTGGATGTGATTGATAATTTACGATGGTATCTTCCAACCATTGCTTAACATCCACTTCCCTGTGTGTGGCAAAATGGCGTGTGTGAGCAAAATGGAAATCGATCATTTATACAAGTGTGTATGGCCACCATAAGACTGACCATACACTATACAATCTGATTGTACATTCTTCTTTAGCTTGACCAAAAATTATATGAGATGTGACAATTTACTTGCCAGAATACCTGTGGCATAGCACTACTGTGATGAGACACACAGCCATTAGCACTACAGCGTGTTCTGCCATGTTCTAACTTGCACACGTATGGGTTGCAGAGCAGCTGACTCAGTCTTTATGGAATAGTAAAAGAAATCCTGGATGGCTGTACATTAACATAGCAATCCACAAGGCCATACAGTGGAGGGAAAGAGCAAAGTTAACGCAGTTCCCGTGTTTGCACTTATTCATCAAGAGGTCATGAATGCGTGAACTGCTATGGCCAGAAATCCTGGATCGCATACATTTACATGATGCAGTGCAGAGCGGCCACCCCACTGCAGTATATCTACATTGAGCGATCCGCTAGTGGTTAAAGCTCAATTAAAACCATTCATGTAAGTTTCCCAACATAGATACATTCAAAGCATGCTGGGAATGCCAACTGTCACAGTTGCTTGTGCTCTCAACCAAACTGTCAAGCCATCAAAAGGACTGGTTTTACATGATCACATGTGCAACACCATGGCAACTGCAGATCAAACAGAGTCTAAGATGGCAGCTTTCCTGGCTGTAAAGGATAGGAGGGTTTGGTTCTACCTAAAGTGCCTGGTCACACTGGGTGTGAATTAGCATGCGATTTGCAAATCGCATGGCAAGTCGCACCCTATTGTCCGATAGCGATCATATCGGTGCAGTTCTAACTTGGTAATAGCCACACCAATTTCTAAAGTAGTGCATGCATTACTTTTGCTGCGATTTGCATAGACATCTGTGTCACATGTCTTGCAAATCGTACTTCAAATCAGCATGTCTCCTGACTTTGAAATCAAGCAACTTCACTGTAAGTGGCACGATATCAGAGTTGGGATAGGTGTGATCGGGGTGTAAGGCTTCATTTAAATGTCCTGGTCAGCCATGGTACAGCATGTATCTTACGAAAAACTGCAGCTGAGAAAACAAATGTGCAGCCTGCACCCAAGTATGATGATATTTCCCTATCTGCAGGTAACTGCTCGCTGTAAGAAAACTCCTGAACAGCAGTGGACAGCTGCTGTCAGCCTGTCATTGCTTTGTACAGGCTTCCTGGCCATGATAGCCCCGAGGTATGTGGACAATCGGCTGCAATTTTCTGCACCACAACCAACTCGGCCCAAAAATCTGCTCAACTCCTGTTCTGGAGACGACTAACATTTCCCCTCACTTCCTGTTTTGGAGAGGTCACTGGTAGGGATGAGCTCAGGCGTTTTATTTCTAGTCTGAGCCCTGCCAGGAAGGTGTCACCAGTACGACATCTGCGGCCAGGGCATTCCCCACCCGGCATGCACACTTGTACAATGCACATTCATAAATGCAGCAGCAAGGTGGGGAATGTCTCCCCTGCTTATGATTGGCCCAGCACAGGTCGCACTTTCCTGGTGGGCTCAGACTAGTATCCATACATGTCTGAGCTCTTCCCCAGGTCACCAGTACAAATAGAGAGGGGACGGGTCCTTTCACACGGGATGGACCTGTTTAGTGGATCCACTTGCTCAGTGGGGAATCTCTCCGCTGATCCATGCTGAGCAAGCAGATGACAGCTCTGTGTCTGCTCCACTGCTGCAGAACAGACCAGAGCTGCTTGCTCTCCTCAAAAGGGGGGTTGGATGGAAATGGACCACCTGTCCATTTTCATCCAACACGATCCGACGGACAGGGAACTGAATCCCCATCCACCCCTTTTTGGCGGATCGGATGTTGGCAGATGTAAACAGACACATATTATTTTATTATTATACAGTATTTATATAGCGCCAACAGTTTGCTCAGCGCTGTACATTACAATGGGAGACAGTACATGAGACAGTACAGTGCAATACATGAGAGGTTCGAGGGCCCTGCTCCTTGGAGCTTACAATCTAGGAGGGAGGGGATAGTGGTACAGGAGGAAATAGCTGTGGGGGATGGAGTGGTAGGAAGAGTGGAGGAGATCGGCAATTAGGTAAGGGCGGGGTAGGCTTCCCTGAAGAGATGGATTTTCAGGGTGCGCCTAAAGGTGAGGAGGGTAGGTGACAGTCTGATGGATAGGGGTAGTAAGTTCCAGAGGATGGGGGAAGTCCTGGAGATGGGAATGGGAGGAGGAGACCAGGGAACTAAAGAGTAGGAGGTCTTGTGAGGAGCAGAGAGTATGTTTTGGGTGGTAGATGGATATCAGATCAGTGATGTAGTTTGGGGCAGTGTTATGAACAGCTTTGTACGTCAATGTTAGTAGTTTGAATTTTATGCGTTGGACAATCGGAAGCCAGTGGAGGGAATGACAGGGGGGGGTGGCGGATACGGAGCGATTAGTAAGGTGGATGAGTCTGGCCGCAGAATTCAGGATAGACTGAAGCGGGGATAGCCTGTGGTGAGGTAAGCCGGTGAGGAGGCAGTTATAGTAGTCAAGTCGTGATATTATCAAGGGAGTGAATGAGTTGCTTAGTAGTTTCTGGAGTTAGGAATGGAGGTATTTTGGAGATGTTGCGGAGGTGGAGTCTACATGAATTTGTCAGCGATAGGACCTGGGGCTGGAAAGACAGATTGGAGTCTAGGATGACACCTAGTACTCTGGCTTGCGGGGTGGGACTGATGGTGGTGTTGTTGGTCGTGCTGGAGAAGTCGGGGGGGTCGCGGGCTGAGGGGAAAACTACGAACTCAGTTTTGGAAAGGTTTAATTTGATAAATATCCGTTTATACCCTCCGCTCCATAGGGGAGAATGGAGGTTCCGATCGGGTCCTCCTAAAAAACAGGCAGGTGGACCTGATTGAAACTTCCTTGTGAAAAGAGCCCTAAATCACCCCAAAGGGGACACAGACAGCAATAAAAACCTGAACAGAGGGTCTAACCCTTCCACACTCAATCCAAAACTAAAATAAATCAATACAAATAAAGTTGTTTGGATAGAGTAAGGCAGGCCATACATGGGTCGAATTCTGAACAAATTTCCTTTGTAGAAAATCACAAACAACCAAATCAATCCATCAAAAAGTGTCAGACACTCAAAAGGGATCTTCAATACCTCCGGATCATACAGCTGCACCTCCAGTAATGTTGTGTACCTTATCCAGTGCAGAAAATGCAGCAAAGGATCTTATGTTGGCGAAACAGGACAGAAGTTGCAAACAAGGATGAATTTGCACAGACATACCATCAAGGAACATAAAGAAGATGACTTTTGAACACCTGTAGGACACCATTTCACACAACCAGACCACACTATGGAAGACCTCAAGATCTCAGTTCCAAAAAGGGATTTTCAAAACTGTTCAGGAAAGGAAAACCTTTGAACTAAGAATGATAATTCTATTTGACACAAGAGATAACGGCCTGAATTTGGACATGGGATTCCTCACTCATTATCCAACAATTTTACGACCCCCTCTGTGAGTGTTGTCCCCCCCCCCCAGTCTTTGCTTTTGCTGTGTCTTATCTCTAATCCTAGTCTGATAACCATTGCTGTGTATATCTGTTTGTTTCTTTCTGGGTTTTTTTTCTCCCCCTTTCAACATCTCTTCTAACATTCTGCTAAAACTTTGTAGTACTGCCTGGACCTTGAGGTCGGTGGACACTCCCCGAAAGCTTGTCCTCAAAATTGTATGTTAGTGCAAATAAAGTATCACGTCAGTACTCAATTGTTTCTTTAAAAAATCAGAAATTTTATGCGTTTTGTAATCCGATGGTGCCACCATTGCTTTCAAAATTCGACCAACCAAGCCTTCAAACTTCACCCCATGTTGTTACAGAAAAGAATTTTCATGGCTGGGAATCTTCTCTTCTTTCCAGGTCACAGCTAGCACACATTTCTTTTTCGATTATATTTCTTGCACAATTCTCCCATCTTTGATTAGAAATGCTTTTGCTTTTTCAAACATTTTCCAACATGCTCGATCACTCAAATTCGATGGCCGCAAGAAAATCGTCCACTGCTGCGGCCCTCTAATGGTGCGCAATTCAAAGACAATTCTAAGTTATGATTTTCAAAAGAAACATTTTTCGGAATCCGACCCATGTATGGCCAGTAGAAGGAAGGGGCTGCTTTTCTTTTTTTGCCATCTGTGTCCTATGGGGGGGGGGGGGGGATTTCTCTTTACCTCCTGTCCCGTAGCAAAAACAGGAAGTGAGAGGAAATCCCTCCACAATGAAAGAATTTCTGGTTATCAATAGAACTAAGGTTCCCATTGGCAGATTTGCCTTCTATTCCTGTTCTGGTGACAACCCAAAATTTGGATTTCCTTTCACTTTCGGTGGTAACAGTCTTCAGGATAAATCGGGTGAATGACCACAAGAACGATAAAACTAACAGATATCTCTCTCCACAACTAAGAAAAAAATTGCCTTCAGCTCTACGTAGAAGAATATGAGGTGTGCGCACAGCTGTGTGTTCATAGTTCCCTCGTGGTCGTGCCTAGGTAGAGAAGGATGACAGCCCTATAACATGCAGCGGGGCCCCGCCCCCAGCATCTCCTGGGAGACAGTCACCCCTAGCAACCACAGGCCTGCTTTCCATTTGCCAGCGAATATTATTATACAGTATTTATATAGCGCCAACACTTCCCTCAGCACTGTACATTACAATGGGGGACAATACACTAGACAGTACAATAACAATACTACGCAATACACGAGGGGTTGAGGGCCCTGCTCCTTGGAGCTTACAATCTAGGAGGGAGGGGATAGTGGTACAGGAGGAAAAGCTGTGGGGGATGGAGTGGTAGGAAGAGTGGAGGAGATCAGCAGTTAGCAGGGGGTGAGGTAGGCTTCCCTGAAGAGATGGGTTTTTAGGGTGTGCCTAAAGGAGAGGAGAGTAGGTGATAATCTGATGGATTGGGGTAGGGAGTTCCAGAGGATGGGTGACACCCTGGAGAAGTCCTTGAGGCGGGCATGGGAGGAGGAGACCAGGGAACTACAGAGAATAGGCGCTGACTGGCCGCTGTGGTCACCTGTCCTCTCTAGCCCCCTCTAGTGTATACCAGTGATAACCGCCTCCCGCTCTCCCCTCAGCCCGGCGGGTACCTGGAGACTCTCCTTCAGCTGCGGGATGAGCATCCTGTACCTCTGCACCGGGTCAAAGTCCTGCTGCTGCTGTGGCATTCCCATCTGCTGCTGAGCTGCCCCTGGGCCAAGCTGAGGCCCAGGAGGTCCGCCGCCCACAGGTGCCTGAGGACCCATCGCTGGGTTCATGGGCGCCGCCATTGTTCTGTGACGAGATCACGTGCCTACCGCTCTCAACCACAGACGCGTCGGTAGGCGGGCCCTGCGACTCCGCCTATCTTTATTCAACAATAGCTAGCGCTTCTACGTCCAAACAACAAGTCCCATGATTCCGTGCGGCACGTTCAGGACCTTACGTCATGGGTGGCCTCTGTTGTGCCTGTGTGTTAGAGGAGGCGGAGCGATTGAAGGACTGGGGATGCAGACGGCTATGGGTTGTGTGTTCTAAGCTAGCATGGCGCCTACCATCCAGACTCAGGCCCAGCGGGAGGACGGACACCGGTAAGTTATGACTTGTCTTGCGAGCACTATGTGGTAGTAGAGACGTAGAGACGGTTGTTGGAGACGTCACCCTCCCGGCTCTCTGAGGGCTCCGGGGATCACACGCAGGGGATCTCCTCGGACACCCCAAGTCCATTTGAAGTGTGAGGGGGGCAGAGCCGCCAGGACTGACCTATTCTGGAAAATACCACTTTCCTGGCTGCCACCCGCTCTAATACATTGTTAGTGGCCAGGAACAAGCATGCAGCAAGTGAAGTCAGCTCCTGGGCTGTGTGCTCGGTCAGTGGTCGGAAATACCGCATTTTGTAGATGTGAATGGGGCCCTTATGTAGAACTGAGCCCAAAACCCTTTTGTATTCATTTTGGATAGAGTAAGGGAAGGTTATAACCCCTGTCAGCTGTGTTTTTTTTTGGCATCTGTGTCCACATTGGGGAGATTTCCCTTCACTTCCTGTCCCATAGCCAAAACAGGAAGTGAGAGGAAATCCCTGCAAAGCTAAGGACAGACCTGGTTGTCACGAGAGCGACTGTCCCATCTGTTATTGTTCTGGGGTTTTCTTTAGTGGTCACCAGGATAAATCGTGGCGGTGAATCTCCCTAATGGGGGCACTGAGGGCTATAAAAACCTGACGGGGGTCTAACTCCTCTCTATCCAAAACTAAAACAAAATAGGACACGAGTTCTGGTGACAGCCAAGTGTTTCCCTCGCTTAGGAGGGATTTCCTCTCACTTCCTGTTGGGCTATGGGAGAGGAAGGGATGGCTTCTCATGGGGACACATGGCAACAACAACCTGGTATTGGTTATACGATTGTAAGCTCTAAGGAGCCGGGCCCTCTGATTCCTCTTGTACCAAACTGGATTGTTACTATATTGTCTGCCTTCATGCTGTAAAGCGCTGCGCAAACTGTTGGCGCCATATAAATCCTGTATAATAATATAAATCCCGTATAATATTACTATACAGGATTTATAGAGCCAACAGTTTGCTGAGCGCTTTACAATATAAGATATAACCCTCCCTAAGGTCTAGTTCACACCATAGAAACACAGTCCAGATGCGTTCCGGATGCGTTTTTGCATGCATGTATTTGATGCGTTTCAGCGCATTTTTTTCCCCTTTTTTTTAAAGCGGAGTTCCACCCAAAAGTGGAAGCTCCACTGCCATACTTTGCACCTTTTGGTGGGGAGGGGGAGCGGATACCTGTCTTTAGAAGGTACCCGCTCCCACTCCTTGCTCACTCAGCTGCTGCAAGGTGAGCTGGAAGTTCGGCCCCCCCTCCTTCCTCCCGCAGTCTCCTTCACGGGTCCCAGAGGACTGCCGGACCATTCAGAATGTGCAGCGCGACTCGCGCATGCTCAGTTGGCACCCGGCTGTGAAGCCACAAGCAGTTGTGATGCTGGGCAGAGAATTCATGGCGCAGGTGAGCACATCGTGGGACCGAGGGGGCAGGTAAGTGTTTGTTTTATTGATAGTCAGCAGCTGCAGTTTTTGTAGCTGCTGACTTTTAACCACTTGTCCTCCAGAGGATTTAAACATCCCCAGTGACACCAGTTCAGTGATCAGTGCTAATAAAAAGCACTGACACTGTACTAATGGCACTGGGCAGGAAGAGGTTAACATGTTAGGCGATCAAAAGGTTGTACTGTGTGTTTCACTGTAAGCACACTGCTTTGTATGGCTCTGCTATGCAGAGCCATACAAAGCAGTGTGCAGGAGCTGACAGGGGAGAGATCTGTATTGTTTACATACAGGCCTCTTCCCTGTCGGAGATGCTCGGCGATCACCAGGTGCCGGGGAGTAATCACTGTCCAGGACTCGGTGATTGACAGCCAAGGCCGCGAATGCAAAATGTGTGTGTGTGTGTGTGTGTGTATATGTATGTGTGTGTGTGTATATATATATATATATATATATATATGTATATATATATAATATATATATATATATATATATACACAGTGGGGATCGAAAGTTTGGGCACCCCAGCTAAAAATTTGTATTAATGTGCATAAAGAAGCCAAGGAAAGATGGAAAAATCTCCAAAAGGCATCAAATTACAGATTAGACATTCTTATAATATGTCAACAAAAGTTAGATTTTATTTCCATCATTTACACTTTCAAAATAACAGAAAACAAAAAAATGGCGTCTGCAAAAGTTTGGGCACCCTGCAGAGTTAATATCTTGTGCTGCCCCCTTTGGCAAGTATCACAGCTTGTAAACGCTTTTTGTAGCCAGCCAAGAGTCTTTCAATTCTTGTTTGAGGTATCTTTGCCCATTCTTCCTTACAAAAGTCTTCCAGTTCTTTGAGATTTCTGGGCTGTGTCACGCACTGCTCTTTTAAGGTCTATCCATAGATTTTCAATTATGTTGAGGTCAGGAGATTGTGAAGGCCATGGCAAAACCTTCAGTTTACGCCTCTTGATGTAATCCCCCGTGGATTTCGAGGTGTGTTTAGGATCATTATCCATTTGTAGAAGCCATCCTCTCTTTAACTTCAGCTTTTTCACAGATGGCATCAAGTTACCATCCAAAATTTGCTGAAATTTTATTGAATTAATTTTTCCTTCTACTCGTGAGATGTTCCCTGTGCCACTGGCTGCAACACAACCCCAAAGCATGATTGATCCAACCCCATGCTTAACAGTTGGACAGAGGTTCTTTTCATTAAATTCTGTGCCCCTTCTTCTCCAAACGTACCTTTGCTCATTCCGGCCAAAAAGTTCAATTTTTAACCTCATCGGTCCACAGAACTTGTTTCCAAAATGCATCAGGGTTGTCTATATGTTCATTTGCAAAGTTCAAACGATTTTTTGTGGTGAGGACGTAGAAGAGGTTTTCTTCTGATGACTCTTCCATGAAGACCATATTTGTACAAGTATCTCTTTATAGTGGAATAGTGTACCCACAACTCCAGTGTCTGCCAGATCTTTCTGGAGGGATCGTGCAGTCAAACGTGGGTTTTGAATTGTTTTTCTCACAATCCTGCGAGCTGTTCTGTCTGATATTTTTCTTGGTCTTCCAGATCTTGCTTTAACTTCCACTGTTCCTGATGACTGCCATTTCTTAATTACATTCCGAACAGAGGATATTGACATCTGAAAACGCTTTGCTATCTTCTTATAGCCTTCTCCAGCTTTGTGAGCGTCAACTATTTTCAGTTTCAGTTTTCTAGACAACTGCTTAGAAGAACCCATGGTGCTGATTGTTGGGGCAAGGTCAGATGAGTCTGGGCATTTAAAACCTTTGAGATTGACATCACCTGGTCTTCCCAGACGATGATTGAGAACAATCCATGACACTGGCAGGTCTCAGCTTTGCAAAAGGGGCAGTGCATGCTATAAATTCTGCAGGGTGCCCAAACTTTTGCAGACGCCATTTTTTTGTTTTCTGTTATTTTGAAAGTGTAAATGATGGAAATAAAATCTAACTTTTGTTGACATATTATAAGAATGTCTAATCTGTAATTTGATGCCTTTTGGAGATTTTTCCATCTTTCCTTGGCTTCTTTATGCACATTAATACAAATTTTTAGCTGGGGTGCCCAAACATTCGATCCCCACTGTATATGTGACTTTGCGCACCCCTGCCGCCCTGTAACAGTATTTCTGCTATAGGGCGGAGGGGAAGCGGTTCATAAACACAAAACTGACTGGAACTCCGCTTTTACTCAGCCCTGGTTTAGACTAGATTCAACTTTGAAATTGTGCAACTTCACTTGAAGTCACACAATTTCAAATTTGCATGTCAGTGAGACTTCAAGTACGGCTTGGCAGACATCTCTGCGGCTTCATGCACAGATGTCTATGCAAATCGCACCTGAAATCGCATAAAATAGTGCAGGAACTGCTTTCAAAATTGGTGCAACACCAATGGAGTTTGCGTCACACCGGTTTGAAGGGTTACATTGCGGACAATAGGGCGTGGCTTGTGGAACTTTCAGATCACATGACAAGTCGCACTGGTGTGAACCAGGGCTTAAAGTGGAATTTCACTCTCTCAATCAATGTTGACTATTTAGGATTCTTATGCTTCTAGCATTTGGTAAATAGGTAGGAATTATATTTACTTGTTTTAAACAGTTTTTTTACATCTCTTCAGTTACTTCCTGGTTTCCATGCTTAGGCAAATGATATCATTACATCCTAGGAGTCTTCGGGAGGGGAGGAAGGGTTTTTTCTCAGCTAAGCACACTCTCCTGCCTGCATGCCTGAGCTAAAGGCAGATAGATTCCTGGAAGTAATTTCTACATGAATCATCTGCCCTTACTCAAGATGGCCATGGACAGAAATGCTAGGGACTGTTTTTTTTTAAAGTGATTTCTCCACAAAATAAAGCATGGAGACATGGATGGATGGGGGAGTTTATTTTGAATATCAAAAATGAATTAAATGGCGCTGAATGACGGCTACATCACGGTTATCCAGTTGTGGAGGACGTCCTCCCACATTCACCCGGCGTTGTTCTATGGACACAACTGATCACATAACTAGGTAAAATGCCAACCACAGCGGCCTTTTACGTGATCAGCTATGTCAAATGACATAGCAGATCACAAGGTAAATACAGTTACCGGTTATCAGCAGCCTTTTTGAGGAACATATATGTCACAGGACATCACCTGATTAGCAGTGCCACCCATCAGTGCCCATCATTGCTGCCTATCAGTGCAGCATCATTAGTGCCTCCTCATCAGTGCTGCCTATCAGTGCAGCATCATTAGTGCCTCCTCATCAGTGCTGCCTATCAGTGCAGTCTCATCAACGCACATCAGTGAAGGAGAAAATTACCTGTTTGCATAATGTAATAATAATAGAAACAAAGAAGAATTTTTTTTTTTTTAACTATTTTTTTGCTCTTTTTGTTTATAGTGCAAAAAATAAAATACCTAGTGGGGATTAAATACCAGCTCTATTTGTGTGAAAAAAAGATAAAAATTTCATATGGGTAAAGTTTTGCATGACTGCGCAATTGTTGTTCAAAGTGCAACAGCACTGAAAGCTGAAAATTGGCTTGGGCAGGAAGGGGGTATAAGTGCCCGGTAGGCAAGCGGTTAATAAGGATGTGTGCGTTCTGGTGTGGTTTTCCCCATTCCAGCATGTTCTACGTTTTGTTTCTGGACCTGGAATGCACTGGTGTGAACTATGCCATTGGAAACCATATAACCTACTGTCCATGCATTTCTGATGCAGAAAAAAATGCACTGGACTACATGCGGTGTGAACTGGCCCTCAGGGTAGGTTCACTTGCAGTTCAGGGGGGTGGTAAAAACATGTAGCTGAGCTGTGCTTTCTCTTTCCTCTTGACTGCTTTCTCTTAAAAGCATAGTTCAACTTTACTAAAAACTGCCTATGCAGATCAGGCGTGTCTGTAGATAAAAGCAAACTGCAGTTCTGATTAAATTTGGTTAAGAAAGCCCTTGCTATAGGTGTTGGGCATTTACACAGGTAGGTAGATGTATTTTATTGTAGTAAAAACTTGGCCTGGTTCAGACGTACTACGGTCCATTCAGCATGGTTTCCTATGGGACACATTCACATCTATGCATTTTTGGAAAGGGTCAGAAATTTTTTTTAAAAGCAACACAGTGTGTTTTTGGTTTAATAAACTTCAATGGACACACGGCAGAAACACATGTAGTGCGTTTTTGATGCGTTATGCGCTTTTTGTTGGGGTGTTTTTTTTTTCTATTAGTAAAGTATGACAATTCTGTTCATGCAGTGCAACTTTACAATCTCTGGCACTCAAGTTGCATCAAAGTTTCATCCAATTTGCACCAAAGTAACATAAAAGTAAATACACTGCTCAAAAAAATTAAAGGAACACTTTGAAAACACATCAGATCTCAATGGGGGAAAATATCATACTGGATATCTATACTGATATGGACGGGGTAATGTGTTAGGAATGTAAGATTGCCACATTGTTTGATGGAAATGAAAATGATCAACCTACAGAGGACTGAATTCAAAGACACCCCAAAAATCAAAGTGAAAAAATGATGCTGCAGGCTAGTCCATTTTGCTGAAATTTAATTGCAGCAACTCAAAATGGTACTCCGTAGTTTGTATGGCCCCCACGTGCTTGTATGTATGCCTGACAACATCGGGGCATGCTCCTAATGAGACAACGGATGATGTCCTGGGGGATTTCCTCCCAGATCTGGACCAGGGCATCACTGAACTCCTGGACAGTCTGAGGTGCAACCTGGGGCTGTCGAATGGACCAAAACATGATATCCCGGAGGTGTTCTACTGAATTTAGGTCAGACGAGCGTGGGGGCCATTCAATGGTATCAATTCTTTCATTCTCCAGGAACTGTCTGCATACTCTCGTCACACGAGGCCGGGCATTGTCGTGCACCAGGAGGAACCCAGGACCCACTGCACTAGTGTAGGATCTGAGAATGGGTCCAAGGATTTCATCCCGATACCTAATGGCAGGGTGCCATTGTCTAGCCTGTAGAGGTCTGTGCGTCCCTCCATGGATTCCCCCCCCCCCCCCCCCCCCCCCCCCCAGACCATCACTGACTTACCACCAAAACAGTCATGTTGAACCATGTTACAGGCAGCATAATGTTCTCCATGGCTTCTCCAGACCCTTTCACGTTTGTCACGTATTCAGGGTGAACCTGCTCTCATCTGTGAAAAGCACAGGGCATCAGTGGCGGACCTGCCAATTCTGGTGTTCAATGGTAAATGCCAGTCGAGCTCTATGGTGCCGGACAGTGAGCATAGGGCCTACTAGAAGACCTCGGGCCCTCATGCCACCCTCACGAAGTCTGTTTCTGATTGTTTAGTCAGAGATCTTCACACCAGTTGCCTGCTGGAGTTCATTTTGTAGGGCTCTGGCAGTGATCATCCTGTTCCTCTTTGCCTAAAGGAGCAGATTCCGGTCCTGCTGATGGGTTAAGGACCTTCTATGGCCCTGTCCAGCTCTCCTAGTGTAACTGCCTGTCTCCTGGAATCTTCTCCATGCTCTTGAGACACAGCAAACCTTCTGGCAATGGCACGTATTGATGTACCATCCTGGAGGAATGGACTGCCTGTGCAACCTCTGTAGGGTCCAGGTATCGCCTCATGCTACCAGTAGTGACACTGACCCTAGCCAAATGCAAAACAGTCAGAAAAGATGAGTAGGGAAAAAAATGTCAGTGGCCTCCACCTGTAAACCATTCCTATTTTGGGGGTCGTCTCCATGTTGCCCATCTAATGCACCTGTTGTTAATTTCATTCACGCCAAAGCTGATTAACAACCCCCTCTGCTACTTAACTGACCAGATCAATATCCCAGGAGTATAATTGACTTGATGCTATACTCTGACTAAAAAGTGTTCCTTTAATTTTTTTGGGCAGTGTACTTCCCTATTGGCAAAAAAAGAAACACAAAACGTGCCTGGAAATCGTGTAAGCCTAGCCTACGTGTCTCTTCTGCAATAAAAAGCCTGCATGTTCACAGGTTTATTTTTCTAGCTCTAGTTCTAGGTTAAAGTATAACTGAAGGCAAAACTTTTTTTTTTTTTTGCTTTGGATAGAATGGAGATGGATTAGAATTAGTCAGGTTTTATTTCTCTCTCTGCCCCCATTAGATTCACACTCTCTATTTGTCCTGTTTAACGTTATCATCAAAAGTAAAAGAAACCCCAAATTTTGGGTTGTCCCCAGAAAAGTAATAGAATGGAAATCTTCCAATGGGGACACCAGGGGCGGACTGATCATTTGGAAACTCGGGCACTGCCCGAGGGCCCGGGGTCAGTAGGGGGCCCCATGAGATGCCCCTGGTACCTTTTTTCATAGGCTTTTTTGAGTTTGGGCAAGGACACATGGTGTCAGGGCTCCAGGTATGACCAGAGGTGTGTGGACTGACACAGGGAAACGCAGGCTTCAGGTATAGTAAAAACAATACAATTTATTAAAGACTAAACAATACATAAACACAGTGCAAACAAACCAAACCTCCAACAGATAGCAATAAGAACAATACTAAACGCAGTCGGGCAGGCCGGGTCGGTAGCAAACGGGCAGGCAAGGTACAAGGAGCAGGCGGAAGAGTAGTCAGGAATAGCCGAGGTCGGTACAGGCAGAGTTCGTGCAGAGTCAGGATACAAGCAGGCAGGATCAGGATGCAGGGGCCAAGGGAAACTATACACCAAGCCCCTGACTGCAGGCCTGGCTACTCCTTAAATACACCTCCTGCAATCAGCCTCAGGTGATGACTTGATTGCAGGAGTGAGCTTCTGGCTGCTGAGACCACCCGCTGGCCAGCCCTGGTACTGCAGCCCACATGGCAGGTGAGTCCCACCACCAGTGGTGAGTCCATTCCTGACAGTACCCCCCCCCCCTCAAGGAGCGGCCTCAGCACGCTCCAAACAGTCTGTCAGGAATGGACTCAGCACTGGTGGTGGGACTCACCTGCCGTGTGGGCTGCAGTACCAGAGCTGATCAGCGGGTGCTCTTAGCAGCCAGATGCTCACAATCAGCCAAACCTGGGGCTGATTACAGAAAGGTGTGTATATAAGGCATGACCAGGCCTGTGCTCTGGGCCTTGGTGTATGTTTTCCCATGAGCCTCTGTACCTGTATCCTGTGTTCCTGCTTCGTTGCTGACCCGGCTTAATCCTGATCTCTGTTGACCGTCTCCTGTTCTGACTACTGGCTCATCCCTGACTATTCTTCTGCCTACTCCTATGCTGTTTGACCTCCTGTTGCTGTACCTTGGCTTGTGACCCGTTTACTCTTTGCCTGCTGCTCTGTACTGATCTGCCTCCACCGTTACTGAACCCGGCTTGTGACCTTGACCATTCTCTGCCTGCTCCTTTGGTACCTTGCTGCCCGCACGTTGCTGACTTGGCCCGTCTGACCACGCTAACTACTCTGCCATCCATCCATCCATCCTGCACGGATCCAGCCGTACCTGCACATACCTCTGGCGGATCCCTCTACCACTAGCAGGTGTACTCAGGGGCCGCGACCTGGTTCCTGTCTGCTCCAAGTCCATCCCCACCATCAGGGGCCCTGGTGAATAAGCAGGCTGGGACTTAGACTCCGCGCCCTGGAGAATCCTGTCCTGGGGACCACTAGAGGTACCACCAAACGGTCATTACAGAACCCTACGGCCGGCCTGACCGTTCCACCTCTCCAGCCCTGACTGCGCCTGTGTTCCTGCACCTACTAAGAGTAGTGAAAGGTTGGTTTGTTCCCTGTGCGTTTATATATATATATATATATATATATATATATATATATATATATCTGGGTGGCTAATAATAACTGTATTATACTGTACCTGAGACCTGCATTTCCCTGTGTCAGTCCACACCTTTCTGGTCATTCCTAGATTCCTGACACAGTCCTTAGTGGGCAAAATGTTCCACCGCCTGGGTCAGGTAACTGGCTGGATATCAGGGGCTGGCACGTCAGGCTGGTCAGCGGACAGAGGCACGTCAGGCAGGTCAGCGGACAGAGGCACGTCAGGCTGGTCAGCGGGCGTCGAGTCACCTGGCACGACAGCGGGCGCCGAGTCACCTGGCACGACAGCGGGCGCCGGTTCACCAAGCTCGACAGCGGGCACCGAGTCATCTGGCACGACAGCGGGCGCCGGTTCACCAAGCTCGACAGCGGGCACCGAGTCATCTGGCACGACAGCGGGCACCGGGTCACCAAGCTCGACAGCGGGCACCGGGTCACCTGGCACGACAGCGGGCACCGAATCATCTGGCACGACAGCGGGCACCGGGTCACCAAGCTCGACAGCGGGCACCGGGTCACCTGGCACGACAGCGGGCACCGAGTCATCTGGCACGACAGCGGGCACCGAGTCATCTGGCACGACAGCGGGCACCGGGTCACCAAGCTCGACAGCGGGCACCGAGTCATCTGGAAGGACCGCGGGCACCGAGTCATCTGGTTCGACAGCGGGCACCGGCTCACCAAGCTCGACAGCGGGCACCGAGTCATCTGGCAGGACGGCGGGCACCGAGTCATCTGGCAGGACGGCGGGCACCGAGTCATCTGGCAGGACGGCGGGCACCGAGTCATCTGGAAGAACCGCGGGCACCGAGTCATCTGGTTCGACAGCGGGCACCGACTCACCAAGCTCGACGGCGGTCACCGAGTCACCTGGCACGACGGCGGTCACCGAGTCACCTGGCACGACGGCGGTCACCGAGTCACCTGGCACCAGGCTGGATCAAGAACACCAGGTCATCAAGCTGGATAGGATCATCAGGCTGGATCGGGCCATCAGGCTGGGTAGCGTACACTGGGGCATCAGGCTGAACGGAAGGCGGATTCTCAGACAGCAGGCTGACCGGTTTGGATACTGGTAGGATGGTACTGGTTGGAAAGAATTTTCACTTCTTCTTGGGTTTAGTTACTGGGACACTGCAAGTAAATGCAGGTCTGTAAATGGATGGAGTAGCTGGGGACAGAGAAGAGCTGGAGGATGGAACAGAGGAGGGAATAGTTGCTAAAGCGTCCTTTTTTACAGGGTTAACGGCAGGATAGGTGCAGCGAGTGGGAACAGGGTACTGACGTGGTAGATAACGGTATATTGGGCTGTAACTGGGGGTGCTGTCGGGAATGCCAGAATAGCTTTGAGCAGAGGAATGATTAGAAGCAGGACTGGTTTGTTGCAAGCTGACTGAGGCTGGGTGTAACAAATCTGACCAGGACTGTAGTATTAATTGAACAAAACTCAGCTTACACATAGCCTGTCTGACTAAAGACTGCACTGCGTTTATACACTTCACTAGCACATGTGGTGAACATGCTGAATAATGTTCCCAGAAGCAATCCGGATCATCCTCCAACAACCATACCAGTGATTCTATTTGATCCACACTGAATGGTGGAAGAAAGTCATTCCTGCTTTCAGGGGTATTAGATGAAGCCAACTCAACATAAGCCTGAATCAATGGTTGCACCTCAGAGAACTCCGTGCCCTGATCTAATAGGGAATGAGCGACCCGTATGCATTCTAGCAGCTGATCCCTGGTATACTCCTGCAGAGTCTGATAGGCATATTCTCTGTCATCTAAGACTAGCAAATACAAGTATATAACCTCCTCCGGATGGATCCTTCACAACAGCAAGCCAAGATGGCTTCCCTGTGCAGCCACTTCTGGTCAGGAATGGCCTTGGTGTAATGTCAGGGCTCCAGGTATGACCAGAGGTGTGTGGGCTGACTTAGGGAAACGCAGGCTTCAGGTATAGTATAAACAATACCATTTATTAAAGACTAAACAATACATAAACGCAGTGCAAACAAACCAAACCTCCAACAGATAACAATACTAAACGTAGTCGGTAGCAAACGGGCAGGCAAGGTACAAGGAGAAGGCGGAAGAGTAGTCAGGAATAGCCGAGGTCGGTACAGGCAGAGTTCGTGCAGAGTCGGCATACAAGCAGGCAGGATCAGGATACAGGGGCCAAGGGAAACTATACACTAAGCCCCTGACTGCAGGCATGGCTACCTTAAATACACCTCCTGCAATCAGCCTCAGGTGATGACTTGATTGCAGGAGTGAGCTTCTGGCTGCTGAGACCACCCGCTGGCCAGCCCTGGTACTGCAGCTCACATGGCAGGTGAGTCCCGCCACCAGTAGTGAGTCCATTCCTGACACGGTCCCCATGATCCCCTATTGCCCTGGGGCCCCATGAGTTGTCAGCCCGCCCCTGGGGGACACTAGTTCTGGTGACCTGGGGGTCCCCAAGAGATTCCCTTAATTTGCAGAGATTTCCTCTCACTTGCTGTTTTGGCTATGGGACAGGAGGTGAAGGGAAATCTCCACAATGGGACACAGATAGGAAAAAATAAACTGATAGGGGTTTTAACTCTCCCTTTCTCTATCCATCTACTTTAAAGTAGAGCTCCACCCAAAGTTCCACTTCAAGGGTTCGTCCCCCACTCCCCGTTACGGATTGGCACCTTTGGGAAGGGGGTACCTGGATTTGACATGTACCCGCTCCCACTTCTGCGATTGCCTAAGCTGTATTTGATCACCACTGGGTTTTTTAATTTTTACACAATAAACAAAAAAAGATTGCCAATTTTGGGGGGGAATCAAAATTTTAAAATATACAATATCATAAATTTAAGAAATCAAATTTCTTCATAAATTTAGGCCAATATGTAATCCTGCTAAATATTTTTGGTTAAAAAAAAAAATTTCCGTATATTGAATGGTTTGCACAAAGGTTATAGCGTCAACAAACTATGGGATATATACTGGAATTTTTATTTATTTTATACTAGTAATGACAGCGATCAGAGACTTATAGGGGTACTGCATTGTTTACATCTACAGAGCTCCTTTGTGTCTCCTCCTCAAACAGTGGGTGCCAACACCCGTTGAACAGCTTATGATTTGACTAATCACAGCAGAAGTGTCGCACTTGCACACTCCCTACCCGGGAGTGCAGAATCACGTGTGCGTGCATACACGTGTATGTATGTATGTATGTATGTATGTATATGTGTGTGATTCTGCACATCTGCACAGAGCAGCCATCCTGTGTAGGGCGGTTGACAAGTAGATGAACCATATTTTAACCTACTGGGCACTTTTTCTCCCTTCCTGTCCAGACCAATTTTCAGCTTTCAGTGCTGTCACACTTTGCTCGGTCATGCAACACTGTACCCATATGAAATTATAAAAAAAAATTTTTAGCTTTTTTTTTTATGGTATTTAATCACCACTGGGTTTTTTGATTTTTTGCTCTATAATAAAAGATTGAAAATTTTGAAAAAAAAAGTTCTTTGTTTCTATTTCTATATAATTTTGAAAATAGGTAATTTTTATCCTTCACTGATGTGCATTGGTGAGGCAGCACTGATGGGGTGGCACTGGTGGGCATTGATGAAGCACTGATATGCAGCACTGATAGGCAGCAATGATGGGCACTAATAGCACTGTTGGGCACCAGGGTGGATTTGATTTAAATTACTAGTGAAAAGGCTCGATTTTAAA